TACCATCCAACGCCCGCAGCCTGCTCGCCTACCGTGCACCTTTGTGCACCCAACGTTGTCTGCGTGCCGACCACATGCTCGCGCGCATCATCGGCCGATGCGCACCTACTGCCCATTCGCCCATCGGCCGTTCTCGACCAACCGTCGGCTTCGATGACCGCTTCCGTATCATTCCCTCCTCTTCAAGGCTTTCCTTGTCCTCAAGGATTAGATAGTTCAACACATCCACATCACTATCATCTTCTTCAATGGGGGAATCACCTTGATCTTCAGTTCTCAACATAATGCGTTTCCCTGGTCGCCGAAAATCCATCTTTCCTCGCCTATAGTCGGTTGTAATGGGCCCAAGTGTTTTGAGCCACTGTACTCCCAAGACAATATCAGTTGCCTTAAGCGGTAAGGCAGAGGTCAATTTCTAGCTCTTGATCCTGTGCCATAATTGGGACCTTCTTGAACAATTGATTACCTTGTAGTTCGTGTCCATTGGCTATTTTGACTCCAAACCTTTTGACCTTGGTGGGTTCCTGACGCAGCGAAAGATTCAACGAATGAACAAAGAACTCAAGAACATATATTTTATTCATCATCAATCAATCGTCTCAACATCTGCTCACATCTCTTAATAAATAGAGTTCCAAAAACACAAAACTCTTACTTAATTTCCTAAGAAAAGAAATAATAATTTTCCTAAATCTTAAATAAATCGGCAACTAAATAAATATGATATGCTAAATAAATAAGAATAGGAAACTGAATAAAAAGATAACGATCAACGGCGACGTTGGTCTTGTTTCTCCATAAAGGCAAGTGCGATCTCGTCGCCATCATTCTCCCCCAGTTTCAAAGGATTCGCCCTCGAATCCAGTGCGATCTCGTCATCGTCCGAGTTGTCACCATGAAAAGGCACCAAATTCTTGACATTAAGGACATCTGAGGTGCGCAAGTGAGATGAAAGACGAAGGCGATAGGCGTTCGGATTAATCTTTTCAACTATTTCAACCGGGCCTATCTTTCGGGCCACCATCTTGCTATACTCATGGGCGGCAAAGCGATCCTTAGTTAGTACGGCACAAACGAAGTCTACCACCTCAAACTCAACATTCCGCCGACGCCTATCGGCCTGCCACTTGTACGCGGTCGTCGTCACCTCGAGGTTGGCCTTCGTCGACTTATGCGTGCGGCACAGATCCGCCATGAAGTCCTCCGCCCGCCGGTCCACGTGCTCTGACGGCTGCAAGCTCAAAAGGTCCGCCGGTTCCCGCGGCTTGACCGCATATACGACCTCAAACGACGAAAACCGAGTAGCTCGGCTTACAGCCGAGTTGTGGGCGAACTCGGCCTGACTCAATCGCGTATCCTAGCTACGCAAATTCTCACCCACCAAGCAGATCAGCAAATTGCCCAAAGACCGATTGACAACCGCGGTTTGACCGTTCGTCTGTGGGTGATAAGCACTACTGAAGTCAAGCCTCGTATTCACCAAGCGCCACAAACTCCGCCAGGAAAAGCTAAGAAAACGCATATCGCGATCCGAGACAATAGACGAGGGAAGACCATGCAAACGATATACCTTACGAAAGAAAAGTTGGGCGACATGTAGAGCATCTGTGGTCTACTTGCATGGAATAAAATGGACCATCTTGGAGAAACGGTCAACAACGACAAAAATCGAATCGTGACCCCGCTGAGTGCGGGGCAAGCCAAGAACAAAATCCATGCTCACCGCACTCCAAGGCTGCGAAGGAATGGGTAACGAGCGATAGAGCCCGGCATTAGATGCCACCCCCTTTGAAGTTTAACAAATGCGGCAAGGCTCAACAAAACGAGAGACATCACGTCGTAAGGACGGCCAAAAGTACGACTACTGAACAAGTTCTATGGATCGATCCCTCCCGACATGGCCTATGCCGTGAATATCAGCAATCAAGCGAAGGCGTAGACTGCAATCCGGAAGACAAAGGCGAACGCCTCAAAAAAGGAAACCATCGGAAAGAATATAGTCCTCGTATGGGCCTGTAGCAAGACGCAACATAATAGACCCGAAAAAGAGGATCCGTCGCATAAAGGTCGCGCAACAAATCAAACCCCACGACCGTCACACGCATATCAGTCAGGACGAGGGAACGCCGACTCAAAGCATCCACCACACGGTTTGAAGCACTCGAGCGATGCTTCAACACAAAAGTAAACTGCTGCAAATAGGAAGACGAAGTAGCATGGAGGGCAGAAATCCCGCTCTGAGAGCCAAGGTGTCGTAATGCCTCATGATCGGTAAAAAGAATAAAGTCCCGCTGAAAGAGGTAATGTCACCAATACTGCACAGCACGATACACCGCATAGAACTCGACATCGTAAGTGTTGTATCGAAGGCGAGGACCTGACAACTTTACACTAAAATAAGCAACCGGTCGTCCCTCCTGGCTCAGAACAGCGCCAACCCCAACCATAGACGCATCACAAGCAAGCTCAAATGGCCGGGAAAAATTGGGTAAAACCAAAACAGGGGCTGAAGTGAGCTTCTGTTTGATAAGAGCGAAGGCCTCAGCTGCCTGAGCAGTCCACAAAAAGGCTTTCCCAGTAAGGCAATCGGTGATGGGGGCCGTGATCGTGCTGAAATGAGAGATAAACCGACGGTAAAAAGAAGCCAGCCCATGGAAGCTGCGAGCCTCAGTAAAAGAAGTCGAAGTAGGCCAATCACGACTCGCCGCAATCTTGCTGTCATCGAACCAGATCCCCAACGAAGAAACCACGAAGCCAAGGAATAGAACCGAATAAATAAGAAAGAAGCACTTCTTCGGGGCGGTAAAGAACGACTCGGCTCGAAGGATGAGCAGAACCTCCCGAACATGACCCAAATGCTCCTCAATAGAACGACTATAAATAAGAATGTCGTCGATATAAACGATGACACACTTGCCGATGAGCTCGCGAAGGGCCTGATTCATAACACGCATGAAGGTGCTGGGAGCATTCGACAACCCAAACAGCATGACCAACCACTCAAAAAGACCCTCACGAATCTTGAAAGCGGTTTTCCATTCGTCTCCCGGGCATATACGTATTTGGTGATAACCGCTTCGGAGATCCAGCTTAGTAAAGATCGAAGCCCCATACAACTGATCAAGTAAATCATCAAGGAGAGGAATGGGAAAATGATAACGCACCGCGATTTTGTTAATAACCCGGCTGTCAACACACATCCTCCACGAGTTGTCCTTCTTAGGGATAAGCAACGCCAGAACAGCACACGGACTCAAGCTACGACGAACAAACCCGCGATGTAAGAGATCCTCTACCTGGTAACATAATTCCTCATGCTCTGACGGACTCATGTGGTAATGGGGACGGTTAGGAAGAGGCGCCCCAGGCACCAAGTCAATTTGATGTTGTATGTCACGTAGAGGAGGCAGGTCGACGGGTAGATCATCTGGAAACACATCAGAGAATTCTGTGAGCAGTGGCCGAACCTCAACGGGAGGCTCGCGGTCCGGAGGTGCGTCCGAGCACAGCAACAAAATAGCAAAAGGAGCAGTCTTCATCTACTGCTTAAAAGCGGCCTTCGAAAGAAGCAAAACCGAAGACTGTGCAGGTGGAGGAGGGCGAGGTGGACTAGGATTCAAAACAATTTTCATTCCATGAAAAGCGAAGCTGTAGGTATTGAGTCGACCAGAATGATGAACATCATGGTCAAACTGCCATGGACGACCCAAAAGAAGATGACAGGCATCCATCGGGACAACATCACACCAAATCGAGTCGCGATATGTGTCTCCAATAGAAAAAGTAACCAAAACACGATGGTCCACTGTGATAGCATTTCCACGTTGATTCCAAGCGAGAGTGTAAGGGTGAGGATGCGTTTCGGTAGAAAGGTGCAATTTATCGATGGCCTCCTGCGCAATCACATTCTCACAAGAGCCCGAGTCTATGATGAAACGACAAACCCTCCCGCCAATCGTGCAAGAGGACTCAAAAAGATGAGACCATTGAATAGGCTCATCCTGCGCATGACGGGGTGCCAAGCAAGCCCGACAAAGAACAAGGGCCTGTCCCACATCACCCGCGAAATGTTTCTCCTCCATCACCCCCTCATCATCAAACACCGCTGAGCCCGAATAATTAGCAACATCATCATCGTCACCACCCTCACCAGAAAATAAAGTCTGGGAACTCTGATTCCGAGGACACATAGACTGGCGGTGTCCAGGCTCACCACACGAAAAATAGTGAAAGCCCGGGCCAGCCCGCGATCCCACCGAGGAACCTCCTGCTCCCATCCCCACTTGAACCAACCACCTGCGAGGACCCAACCACCGCTCCCTGTCGACTCAAGAACGGCCCCGCTGTAGTGGACCCGGGGCCCGACCTGTTCGCCGGCAAAAAGGATGGCCCTTCTCTCCAGCCCAGCTGTTGTTCCACCAGCACCGTCTGCTGGTGGGCGTCCAAAATAGAAACCAGCGTGAAAAGATTTAACGTATCCTGCAAGGGAACCCGCAAACCACCAATATATCAAGACACAAGTTGATCTACCAATTCACGAAGTTCTACTCTTGTCATTAGGCGATAAAATTTGTCAGTATTTTCATTAACCGAACGAGTACCTTGCCGTAAATTCTGGAATTGTTGATAAATAATGCGAACATAATTATACGGGAGGAACTCTCGTTCAAGGTGCTTGCGAAATTTTGCCCAAGACGTTACCTTTGACTTCTCATAACGTCGACGAGACTCCTTTAATTGCTGCCACCAAGCGACGACCCGACCGCAAAACCGTGTTGCCACCCAGGCCACTCTCCGATCATCCGGCACTTCTTTGAAGTCAAGGGTGGTCTCGACCCCGGCCAACCAATCCAAGAACTCCGAAGCATCCGAGCCTCCTGTGAATTCCGGGATATCAACACGTAAGGAGGATTACCAACACCGATCATTGTGCAGGCCCTCATTATCGTGTTCATGCTGACCGAATGGGTTGTAATCATAGAGGGTGTCGTCGTCGTCACCCCCTCCATTCCACGGATTAGACGACCGGTCGCGGGGCACCCCACGTCCACCCAGGCCGCATCCTCTGGGCGCTCCACCGTGCCGCCCGCCACGGCCACGGTTTGCTCGATCAAACGTGTGAAAAGCGTTTTCACCCAATTGCTCCTCGACACCCTCTGCCAAACCGGTGATTCATCGATCCATGTGGTCAAATTGCCGCCCGAACCCTGCCTGCATCTCCGCGAGTTGACGGCTGAGCATCTCGATAGCGGCATCGACGGTATAATTTTTCTTTGGCAGCGTCTTTGGAACGTACTGGTCTCTGGATACCAACTGACGCAGCGAAAGATTAAACGAAGGAACAAAGAACTCAGGAACATATATTTTTATTCATCATCAATCAATCGTCTCAACATCTGCTCACATCTCTTAATAAATTGAGTTCCAAAAACCCAAAACTCTTACTTAATTTCATAAGAAAAGAAATAATAATTTTCCTAAATCAACTAAATAAAATAGGCAACTAAATAAATATGATATGCTAAATAAATAAGAATAGGAAACTGAATAAAAATATAACGGTCAATGGCGACGTCGATCTCGTTTCTCCATAAAGGCAAGTGAGATCTCGTCGCCATCAGTTCCAACTCCAGTCGCCTGGCTATTCCTTCGTCAAAAAAATTTAAACTCGACCCACTATCCACTAATACCTCTAGCAGTAGATCTTTTATTTCAGCCGTGAACCTGATCATCTTGGGACCACGCTTTTTGCACTTAACCACATGTAACAAGGACTCCTCCTGTGGCTTCTCTTCCTCATATTCATCTCCAATTTCCAACAGAAAGACTTCCTTACCTTTGCACTTGTGTCCTAGCGTAAATTTTTCGTTGCATGTATCGCACAAGCCCTTTTCCCTTTACTGCTGCATCTCATCGTCCGTAAGCCTCCGTACACTGCTCGTGGTGCGCGTACCTTTGCCAATTGTTGGTTTGAACTCGGCTCGTGGGAGCGTATCATCGACCGCGACGCTCGCGCGCCGAACGTCCGTGCACCCCTCGCTCGGCCTCGCCTTGCGCACTGCCGCGAGATGATCCTCGTGCAGTCGCGCTGCTTCCATGGCAGCCCTTGTCGATCTTGGCCTATCCAGCCGTACCTCCGCAGCCAGCTCAACCTTCAGGCCTCTAACAAACGCACCAACAAGTGCACTCTCGGGCCAATCGCGTACCCGGCTCGCAATCCTCTCAAATTCCTTTTGATAGTCGCGTAGACTACCAGCTTGGCGGATCCTTGTCAAGGCCTCATCATAATCAAAATAATCACTAGATCCAAACCTGGTAATCAGCTCCTTCTCAAAATCTCTCCATCTGATTTGCTCGCCTTTGTTCTTGTAAACATGTGACACCCATTGCCACCATGTGTTGGCTTCACCATCCAAGTAGTAGGCAGCAATTTGAACTCTTTCAGACTTGTGTACCTCATTGATCTCAAAAAATTACATGGCACGACTTAACCAAGCATCCGGATCTGTTCCTTCGAACATCGGCATCATAATCTTCGGTCTCGCACGTACATGCTCCTCGCGATGATGTCGATGGCCGTGCGTCCTTCGATCGCCGTGGTGTCGGGTTGTGCGCGTCGCGCGCGTCGCCCGCGACTGTTCGTCATCGTCATCGCGACTAGACATCGAACTGTCCATTCCCGCCATGGTTGATCTCGATGTGCGGCTCCTCCGCGTGTGGTGGTTGAATCTCTCGAGCTTTCCCGCCAAGTCGTTTATCATAAGCTCCAGCTTTGCCATGTTTTCATTGACCACGTGTTGTTCGTTGCCAAGAGACCTCACGCTTTCTTCAAGCATATCGAACCTTTCTTGATTCGTTATGACTCTCTTTTTTTTATACTATTAGAAGTTTTTTCAAAAAATAAGAAGAAAATTTGAAAAAAAATTCGGACAAGGGGGGATAAAAATCGGACAAAAGAAAAAAGAATGGGATAGGAAAATTTTAACAAAACACACAATCAGTCACTCTCAATGAAAGCACCAATGATGAAGGATTGTGTGTTTGTTCCACTCGCTTGCTTCGAAAGACACGTTGCCACGGCCTCCTTCTTGGCGGTAGTTGTGATCGACTCGGTTATTAGCTTAACTCTCTCACGATACTTGAGTTCAATCGGTAATTAGCCTTGCTCCCTCCATTTAAAACTAGCTCGGGTCTTAGCCTCACTAATTCGATTGCATGATCGAACTCTCACGAATCCTAACACACGGTTGAACAAACGTTCCTTTTCTATTCACTCATCAATTCCAAGACATTCAAAACAATGAGGGGATACCCCTATTTATAGGTGCATAAAATAAATCTAAGCTTAAGCTAATTAGATCTCCTAACTCTAGAATGAAAAGAAACATGGTAATAAAATCATATTACTATTATAATTAATAATGCTTGACTTGCACTCCAAGCACAACTTGAAGCACAAGTCTTGCACACAAATACCTTCGGCCGCCCTACTCGCACGCATGCCAAGCCCTAGCCGCCTTTGCGTGCGCGCCGACCTTCGGCTTCTATTCCTTGGTGCGCGCGGTGACCCGCGCCTTGCTCCGCACACATGTGCCGCCTCTGCCCAACCTAGTCCCGCGCGGACTTGGCTTCGTCCATCCGCTCCGCACGCGCCCTACGTTCTCATGCTCCCAGCATCTGCCGCCTTGCTCCTGTGCGTGAGCTCCCGTCTCTCCTATGCTCGCGCGAATTAGGACATCCGCGCTTGCATCGCACTCGCGTGCTAGTGTGCGCGCTCCCTGCCAGCCGATCTTCTCGCACGCGTGCTGTCGTGCGCCAAACTCTCCTATGTCTACACGGTCTCAGCTCCCGCCTACGTGTCCTTTACCCGCGCGCTCAGTGCATCCCACTCGCCCGTCGCTCGCTGTCCGCGCGTACCATCCAATGCCCGCGGCCTGCTCGCCTACCGCGCACACTTGTGCACCCAACGCTGTCTGCGTGCCGACCACATGCTCGCGCGCATCATCGCTAGCTGCGCGCCTACTGCCCATTCGCCCATCGGCCATTCCCAACCAACTGTCGGCTTCGATGACCGCTTCCGTATCACAGGGCAGCAGCGCGCACGGGCAGCAACTGGTGGCAGCGCGCGGGGGCGACTTAGGCAGCAAGAAAAGGAGTCTTCTTGAATTCTTTTGAGCTGAATATTCTCTAAATTATTCTTCCCAACTTAGAGTGCAAGCCAAGTTATTTAGTTTCCATCTAGCTTTATGATTTGTAGCTTAATTAGGATTTCTATTATTTTATTGCTTTATTAATTCTCTAGGTAGATTAGGACTAGATATATTTTGTGCCTATATAAAGGCCCTTCCCTCTGTAATTTTAATCATCGAATTTATCAATAAAACTTAAAACTTTTGTTCAAACATTTTGTCTTAGATTTCTTCTATATTTCTATTGCAATTTTATTCGTTTAGAGGGGTGCGGATTGTGAACCTATAGGCAACTACGGCGATTCAAGGCACTGATTTGTGGCTTATCGGCAATCGAAACACACGATCTTCATCATTGGTGCTTTCATTGAGAGGTGTTAGATCGTGTGTTTTTCTTCTACCCCATTCCCTTTCGTTTTCTTCCTTATTTTTTCGTCCCCACTATCAAAAAAAAATCGTGAGGTTGTGTGCTCGTGAGAGGGGCTAGCAGATCGAAAAAATAAAAAATAAAAATGTTGAGGAAAGAATCCATGGAGGAATACTTGAGGTGGGAGGAAGAGAGGTCTGAAGAGGTGGTGCGTGTGGCCAAGGGAAAGAGATTGACGGTTTGTGAACGAATGTTCTTGGAAGATTGGTATCGCCGTAAAAAACCGAACAACTGGAAAAGGTCGTGGTACGAAAGGTCGATACGGGAGCTGCAGACATTCAATGGAGCTGACCCAGACGCATAGCTCAAGCAAGCTCTTGCATATTTTATCCTCGAAGATCTACCAATGAAGGATTGGGTAAAGTACGCTTCAAATTATTTTGACGGAGGGGCTGATGTTTGGTGGCGATGGCTCTACCACAACCGCCGCGAGCCAACTCGATGGGAAGATTTTAAGAAGGAGCTCGTCGCATGGTTCAAGACCCCGATCTATTGACATTACGATGAGGCTCCCTCGCATAAATGGAAGAGAGGCAGCTTGCCTAATTACCAACGAGAATTCATGGGCCACACCCAAGTCAAGAAGGATATGCGAGCAAGTGGCAAGGCCCAAGGCGAGTCCAAGAAGGAGATGGAGGTCAAATTGGTCGGGCGCGATAAGTGCGCGACAAAAGTTGCGGTCGAACAAGACACGAACGAAGTCGAGGTGGTCGAAGCTCCAAGGCTAGAGGAGGTTTCGGACGTGGCCAAGATAGCCGAGGACGATGAAGTCGAGAATAAGAAAGAAAAGGTCAATGTGATCAAAGAGGAAGACGAGCCCCGAATGGAGATGCTTGATGAGTCCTTGAGCACAAGGACATTCTCAAAGGGGGCGGGAATGATGCGGAAGTAGGGTTCGAGCCCCGACGACGAGAAGGTCCAAGAGCCGAGAAGGCTCGAGAAGGCCGAAAAAAGGGCCAAAACTGTTAGAGTAGTATACCCGGCGTTCCAATCTGATTGGACGTATTCTACT